AAACTCCTCACAGCGGTTACGTCACGCTTTGCTACTTTATCTAATCCTGTTTACAAGGGGAGATCACTGCGTAGGTGATTGACCATATTTACGGAGTCGCAAATCGGCACGGGTGTGTGATAAATTAAAGATGTAACATACACTTAAAGATCCTGTGACTCAAAATTTTATGTTCTTATATGAAACATCTTTGGCTTAAATAAAGAATTAACAATGTTAAAAGTTACAGAAAACCTTTTTGATAAGGATATTGCCAAAATTTAAAATTTCCGATAAAAAAGGAGATAATTAGAAATCTGTTTTTGGTAAAAAAAATCAGTTTTGCATTCCAATAAAAATTTCACAACCTTTTTTCCTCAAGAAATATCATATAATGTGTTTAATAATGTTAACTTCTTAAGTATATGTTTTTCATAAGAACTGACTTCGCAAGGATGTTACATCCTCAATTATAAAATACAGGACCTTTAAGCAAGAATATATATATCACCTTCCTTACAACAAAATGAACATACAAGAAAATGTTGAAATAACACATATTTTTTAGGTTCATTATAAGTTTTTTCTTTTAAAAATAATACACTTTTTATTTTAATGAAGAATAGGCAAAGTATTTATCAAAATGTGTTTTTAGCTCGACTTTTCTATGAAAAGGGGAGCTATCCTACTCGCCCCGGCGTCGGCGTCGGCGTCGGCGTCGGCGTCACACCTTGGTTAAGTTTTTCGTACCACCCCACTTTATTTCAGAAGTATTACAAGTATGGCTTTGAAACTTACCATACTTGTTCACCATGATAACCTCCATCTACAGACAAGAGTACATAACTCTGTCAAGGTTTTTGACAGAATTATGGCCCTTTTTTGACTTAGAAAGTGTATTGAGCTTGGTTAAGTTTTTTTGTACCACCTCACTTTATTTCAAAACCATTGGAGGTATTGCTTTGAAACTGACCATACTTGTTTACCATCACGACCTTCATCAACAGACAAGAGGACATAACTCTGTCAAGGTTTTTGACAGAATTATGCCCCTTTTTGACTTAGAAAAATACATTGAATATGGGTAAAATCCACTTATTGCCTTAACCCTTTGAGATATTGCTTTGAAACTTTTAATGCTATTTCACATCATTACCCCCATCTGTACGCAAGAGAAGGTAACTCTGTCAAGGATTTGTTTTAAAAATTAAGGCCTTTTATCGACTTAGAATCTTGGTTAAGTTTTTAGTACCAGTCCACTTTTTGACTGAACTGTTTGAGATATTAATTTGAAAGTTGGAATACTTGTTTACAATCATGATTCCCAAACATGTCCAGGAGAAGGTAATTCTGTCAAAGATTTTATTTGAATTATGGCCCTTAACTGTCAATGTTTTGTATTATAGGCAAGCACTAAAAAACTTAAAAAATCTAAAAAAATTCATTCCTATCCACTTGTTCACTTTACCATAAATTATGTCATAATAAAATAATTCTTCACTAAATATCTTAATGCTCATGGCCATTGTTCACTTTAAAAATACAGAGATTCTTGTATTGCCTTTTACTGCAAAAACTTTTTTTATTGGCAAGCAATAAAAAAGTCGAGCGCGCTGTCTTACGGACAGCTCTTGTTAATTACCTCCCTTTATTTACAGAACTTGTTAAATTCGATAATATCTATGTAAGATTTGTAATATTGGTAATTCTTTATTTGAGTATCAGGTTTATCATATTAAACATGCATTAGACTATTAAAGTTTTGAGGTACAGGGACTTTAAAGGAGTATACATACGCTATTATTTGTCGTTTGTCCTTTGTTGTATTTGTTGTTTAATATTATGCATGTATGATAGTAATTATATACAATTATTCAGGATTCATGTTGTAATTATCAAAGTACATATTTTGTAAAACAATCATTTACAATGCGTGCAAAGGATTTTTCCAAAGTGCCATGTAAGATTATTATATAAACCAGCTTAATGTCGTCAGTTGTTGATTTTATTCAACATGACAAGACTTAGTTATCTCTCCGTTTTATGTATTAAACACTATTAACAAGTTAACAAGTTTTCGAGGAACTATTATGCTTTTCTTTGTCATCTTAACAACTGCTTTTGAGGAATTACTTCAATTTTACACGATCTTTCCCAACAGACCTCGTACTTTTGCTAATTAGCATATATATACAGCGTACAAAGTATATTTTAATTTGTAAAAAGAAGTGTCTCTCATTTATTTGGAATAAAATTTGAAAATTTTAAAGTTTGAATATGTTAAATTTGTTAGATAATTAAGAAAAACTTGAGTTTTAAAAATACCACCTGCTCATGCGTTCACTTTTCAAACCTATGAAACCACATGAAAAGTTCGGCTCATGCGTTCATTTTGAAAATTCGCTTAAACGATATTATACTCCAAAAATACGGGATAGAAATAGAACAGGCTTTTGGTGGATGAGGATATGTTAATAAAGTGCCTTTAGAGCGATACAAATGTTTAGAAGTTTGCTTGGATGTCAAGTTATTGGCTATCAAAGAGCGATTTTACCAATTTTGTGACTTTCCTTGTGCAGTTGTCGATAATGATCTAATAAGTTAACAAAGATTTGGCTAGTTTGAGATGCCTGTCGGATAAAGTAATCATACGAGATCAGAATAGGCTATAAATTTTTTTTGAAATATGCATTTTCAAAGAAATTGAAGACAATTTTCTTACCACAGTATCGGTTTTCCACCTGTAAAATTGATCTCTTCATGCGTTCTCCGCCTGGGAAACATAGTGAACGATTGGACTCGGTGAATAGGCATGCTCTGGAGTACGGGTAACTAATACCCGCACTCCAGTTAACGCATTGTGCATGTATATGTATACGATTTAACTCTGAAACATTTTCAACAGCAAGGTCCCCAAACTATGATACAAGAGAGGTAAAGGTCATGTGGCCCAGGAATCTTGGCTTAAAATGACAACACAAATAAAACAAAATGTTTGACTGCATATATCATTTGAATCCCAAAGTATGTGTTAAACGAGGGCGAATCAGACAACGTTAATAAACTGGTTTAGAAATGAGATAATTGAATCTAATAATTTTTCATTTATTATACTATGCATGCAGTAAGTTTAATACTAATCTCCCTTCAAAAATATCACTTACTATTTATTAAAGAGTTGTCTTCTATATGGTGTCTATAATGTCATTTGTCTTTGTTTGAATTTGAAATTTGTTGTTGTAGCCTTGTTTTGAAATTCATCAAGTTTCCATTATTTTTTCAATTTATTTGAAATACTTATATTGTTCCTTTTTATGGTCTAGTATAACAAAAAAATATTCTTAAAATACAATGGATGTGAAAAAAAACTGAAAAACAAAATTCGAATGATTATCTTGAACTGAAATTAGAGCCACCTATCGGGTTTACAAATCAGAACAAAGGGAAATAAGTCAATTATTACTACTATGTTTACCCTGCAATCTGACGTCCTATCGATGAATTCCAACACATTGATACGACGTCGCAAATACAAACTTTGACGTCGTAACATAAATCCAAATTTAATCCAACGTTGAAACAACGTCAGGTGTTTGATGGGGAGAGATCTTTGGTCTCTTTATGTTGGCCCATCTATCTTTTCAAATATGTATTCTTACTTAGGGGAGGATATCATGCATGTTTATGTGTTTGACTGGGTGTAGTTGTATAAAAGTTACAATTCTTTAATGCTATTTAAATGATAAAAATATATAAGTGATTTTCTTTGCATTAAGTATATTTTATATTAATAAGTAAAAAATATAAACATAATTTATTTTTATCTTATTATCTGATTAAATATTATTTTAGTTTTGTTACGGTCTATAAACAAAACTGTTTTACACGATGCACCAGATATCGAGCTAATTCATACAAAATTTTTGCGTAGAATCCTGGGTGTAAAAAAGTCAACGAATCTTGCAGCTCTTTATGGAGAATTAGGTCGAGTTCCGATACAAATCTTTCGTAAAGTTAATATACTCCGATATTGGATAAAGATACTTAAACAGAATGACTCCTCAATTGTAAAACAATCATACCTTCTCCTCAAATCCGACACGGACTCCGGTCGTAATTATGGTGGAAAAAATTGGGCCTCTTATGTTAAAGATATTCTATCAAGTAACGGATTTAGGTATGTCTGGGATAACCAATTTGATATTGAAATTCCGATTAACTCTATAAAACAAAGATTATTGGACACATATATGCAGAAATGGTATACCGAAATTAATAATTCTTCAAGATTACAAACTTATTGTCTATTTTAACACAATTTTGTTAGTGAATTATATTTAGACTCCATACATGAAAATAAATATAGAGTAGCACTTACTAGGTTTAGAACCTCTTCACACAATCTTTTTATTGAAACAGGAAGATATGATAATACTCTACGTGAAGATCGAATATGTTAATCATGTACCATGAGAAAAATTGAAAATGAATACCACTTTCTGCTTGTGTGTCCACACTATAGAGAGCTTAGAATAAAAATTTTTAAACCTATATATTGTCATTGGCCAAACATGTATAAATTTGATAATCTTTTATCATCTAGATCAAAGAGAACATTGTTGGCATTGTCTAAATTTTTGTATTTTGCAAATCAGAAACGTATTTCTTGATCACACATAACCATATAACAATATGGACGACATTTAGCAACTTAGGATGTATGAAAATCTAGAATTGTTTATTTTTCTGGCAAATATTTATACTCTCTGGAATATTGTTCTGTTTCTCATTGTATGTATATGTTTATTTGTATTTCTATGGCTATAAACATTGTACTATGTTTTATGCTTAATAAAGTTCGTATTCGTATATATGTTTCCAAGACTTTGGTTTTAATTGGCTTAACATAGTCTAAATATATTTCAATGGTCCAATAAAAAACTGATAAGTAACTGTTGATGCAATGTTTATACAAATAATTTAATAGTGATGTCAAACTGTTAGTTCATCATCATCTTCAGTAATCGCCTCACTCTTCATAGAGCATAATCGCGATGAAACTAAAACTATGTACATGCGCAGCAATTGGTTTCCTCTTTACAGTTAAAATTGTCTATTTACATCTTCTTAAAAACTGGTAAAAACTGGCAATGTGTCTAGTTGATGGTGAATGAGGATGATGGTGGCCGGAAAGAAGCTGTTCTGGTACACACAGATTTCTTACAAGTGAGCTGGATGAGTTGTTGTGGGTTGCCTCTTGATGTTCTTGCATTACGTAGCGGGGGATCTGATGTGACATCTACAAGGTTATGCTTGATCTTGTAGAGCATGGTGCTGCTCTTCTTTGGACCATCTCTAGTTCGTTGATGTGGCTGTCAGCAGCAGGTGACCATACAGAGGAGGCATACTCGACGCTTGACCGTACGTAGGTGTTGTAGGCTTTGGCTTCTGGTGGGCTTGACAGGATGATTCGGCGCAGGAAAGCTATAGTTGAGTTGGCCTTTTATGCCCCCGCCATATAATGGCTGGGGCATATAGTGTTACTCTGTTCCGTCATTTCGTCATTCTGTCATTCCGTCATCATCAGTTTCCGTTCATTATCTTAGTAACGGTTGCACACGTTCAACTCAAATTTGACATTCTTTGGATATATCAAAAGAATGCGCAGGTCAAGTTCGAATTTGGTCATGGTTTAATGATTTTTGGCAGAGTTATGCCCCTTTTTCTTTGATTTCTTTAAAAATAATATGAATTTTTTAGTTTCTGTTCATTTTCTCCGAAACGGTATTAATTACACATTCAACTCAAACTTGACATATGGATATGTCAAAAGAATGTGCAGGCCAAGTTCGAATTTGGTCATGGTTTGATGATTTTTGGCAGAGTAATCCCCTTTTCACTTTGAAAACAATTTCTGTTCATTATCTCCCCAACAGTAGTACACATTCAACTCAAATTTTACATATGGATATGTTAAAAGAATGCGCAGGCCAAGTTTTAATTGGGTCATGGTTCAATGATTTTTGGCAGAGTAAAGCCCCTTTCACTTTGAAAATAATATGAATTTTTTCAGTTTCTGTTCTTTATCTCCCCAACAGTGTTACATATTCAACTCAAATTTTACATATGGATATGTCAAAGGAATGCACAGGTCAAGTTCGAATTTGGCCATGGTTCAATGATTTTGGCAGAGTTATGCCGATTTAAATTTTAAAAAAGGAAATTTTCAGTTCATATTCATTATCTCCCCAACAGTTGTACATATTCAACAACAAATAAAAGATATGGATATGTCATAACAATGCATTGGTCAAGTTCGAATTTGGTCATGGTTTGATGATAGCTGACAGAGTTTTCCCTCTTGAACTTTGAAAAAAAAATCAGAAATTTTAAGTTTCCGTTAATTATCTCCAAAATGGTTGTACAAATTCAACTCAAATTTGACATATAGATATATCTTAGGAATAAGCAGTTCAAGTTTAAACTTGGTCGTGGTTCAATGATTCTTGACAAAGTTATCTTTCTTGAATGTTGGAAACATTTTGAATTTTCAGTTAAAGCACTCATACTTTAGTGGAAATGTATGTACCCATTATTTTGGCTACAAATATGCATCATATGCAATTTACAAAAGGTTAACACTGAATAGTTTCAGTGCCTTGAACTTTGTATAAAATGGTTTGTGTTAACATTGAATATTTTTAGGGCTTTGAACTTAAAACGAAAATAATAATTTTTGCAAACAAATTTGGAACTAAATATTATAACATCTGAAATTTTGGTTGCATACATCCGTGGCATGATGACACATTTCTAGTTTCGTTATGTTGTCGATGTAGAATTTCCAAGATAGGTGTGATGGTACTGTTCAATGAATTAATGAAGATTTTAAGAAATAATTTAAAAAGAATAATTAATTTTATACGCTTTGTTTTATATTTACAAAAGAATAATAAATATATCTAATATATTGATATTATTTATTATTTAAAAATATTAATTACTATACTGGTAGTGGTATTAATATTCGAACTGGTACTTATAATGTGTGTTTGTTGTAAAAGCATTTTGTAAGATCGATTATTTATTGACTTAGATCATACGGTATAAATGTCTTGGTCTATATACTTGTGCAATTTAGTTGTAAATCAATAATATTTAGAAAATGGCCAAGACGAAATAATGTGATGAATCTAGACACAATATAGTAAATCAAATCCAATCAATTAAATATTTGTTGTCAAATTAGGTGATACATATACTTCTTTAATTGAGTGAAACGTGACAAGTCCTATTCATCAATTAAAACGTGTGAAAAACTGCATTGACAAGGATGTCGTTGTTCTTTAATACCTGCCAGAACACGATTTAATTTGGTAAAAAATGAATTTAAAAATGTATATTCAGCGTGTATGGGTACTTATTGCACATCAATATTGTAATAACATCCTGAGATAACAAATTATTATATATAAAAGGAATAAATGGTCTAAAAGTTTGAATAAAAAGTTCTGGTCCGATGTGTCCCCATCCCATTATGGTCATGAAATGACCATCTCATGGTCTGAAATGTCCCAAAATCTGGTCCGAAGTGTCTGGTCTGAAACGTCCGTGGTCCGAAATAACAGTAATTTCCTACCTACCTACCTACTATTTATGTCATGTCAGCGCGTCAGAATCGCAAGCAAGTTAAAAAGAGTTGTTTAAAAAGAGGATAAAAGAATATTTTAAATTTTAAAAACAGGGGACTGGAAAACTAGGGTGAGACATGTTCAATGCAAGCTATGGCTGCACTGAATTGCTCAGGGGTAGGGAGTGGGGCAACTAGCTGCAGTCTGATGTTGCTGTGAATAACCCTATTACAGAAGGAATGGCCTTGGCGTGATGTTTGGGAGAGGGGTGTCACATATTGTTCTATGGGGATAGCAACCAGACCATTGTTAATCTTACAGAAAAAGGATAAACTAGCACCTTTAGATACGTCTGAGTTCCAGTTTTCAAAGCTTCAGGGAGTGAAGCATGTCCGTGACACTACTGCATGGTTTCCTAGCAGTTTCCGGCCACCGTAAAAAATAAAAATCAGTCTACGGAGGGGTACAAAACTTTGACAGGACAAAGTTAGGTATCTGTCAAGCATTGCCATGTGTTTAATGTGGCGTTTTCATTTTACTTTTTAAATTATATATAGGCCTGAAATGTAACACATTTTTTCACCTTTATTCAAAAATTCATAGCAGTTTTCTGGACCTTTTTAGCTCGACTTTTTTTGAAAAAAAAAGTAGAGGTATTGTGATAGTCGCGGCGGCGTTGCCGTCCGCAAACTTGTACCTGGATGATGATCATAACTTTTTTATTTCTTGGTGTATTGTCTTCATACTTGGCCACAACAACCCTTGGGACAAGACCTTTCAGTAGACCACACTTACCTTGACCTTCATCCATAAATGTCATTGACCTTCAATGTCGAAAGTCCAAATTTTCCTTTGATCTTATCATCTAATTGCTATCATTGGCTGTAACCTTGTTATTTTTGAATGGATTGTCTTTAAACTTGAACAACATATGACAGATATATTTATGCCCCCCCCCCCACTTCAAAGAAGAGGGGGTATATTGCTTTGCATTTGTTGGTCCGTCGGTCCATAGACCATATGGTTTCCGAGTGATAACTAAAGATCCCTTAGGCCTAGGAACTTCAAATTTGGTATGGTGATTGGTCATGACCAGTAGATGACCCCTATTGATTTTGGGGTCAAGATGTCAAAGGTCAAGGTCACATTGACCTTGTAGGTAAGAACAGTTTCCGATCAATAACTAAAGAACGCTTAGGCCTTGGAACTTCAAACTTGGTATGATGATTGGTCATGACCAGTAGATGACCCCTTTTGATTTTGGGGTCAAGGGGTCAAAGGTCAAGGTCACATTGACCTTGTAGGTAAAAACTGTTTTCAAGTGATAACTAAAGAACGCTTAGGCCTAGGAATTTCAAACTAGGTATGATGATTGTTCATGTCCAGCTGATGACCCCAATTGATTTTTGGGTCAAGGGGTCAAAGGTCAAGATCACATTGACCTTGTCAGTAAAAAAAGTCTCCAATCAATAACTTGACAACCCATGGGCTATTGGCCCTCAAACTTGGTAGGTGCATAAGACTTGACCATTTGATGACCCCTTAAGATTTTGGGGTCAAGGAAACAAAGGTCAAGGTTGCATTGACCTTGTATTTCAAAATGGTTTTCTATCAATAACTGGACAACCCATGGACCCTTGACCTTCAGGCTTTACAGATTTATTGCTTTTGGTCATAATAATTAAGATGACCTCAATGGATTTTTTGGCGTTAAGGGGTCAGCGGTCAAGATCACATTGACCTTATTGGTAACAACGCTTTCTGATCAATATCCCAACTCATGGTCCCTTTACCTTCAAACTTCACAGGTGCATTGGTCTTTGCCAGTAGATAACCCCTATTGATTTAAGGTCAAAGGTCCATGTCATATTGACCTTGTATGTAAAGACTGTTTCTGACCAATAACTCAACAACTCAAGTTGCCTTGGTTGATATTTTTTATTAAACTAAAAATCCTTTTGGGGTATACACATTTTGGGGTATACACATTTCAAGGTCTTATGTAATATAACAACTTGGCTGTCATTAATGAGGCCTACATTATTCATAAAATTTATGCATATATTATTTGGTAAGATTTGAAATAACTTTGTCACAAAATTGCTGCACACAACCTTTGCGGTCACAATTACCTAGTGACTAGTCATGACCAGTTATTAACCCTTATTAATTTTTTGGTCACTGGGTCAAAAGTCAGTCATAATAAACTGATCACATGACTAATTGGCTGCCGATATGGGGCATACATGTTTTACAAACATATCTTGTTGATATATAGTACTCAACATCACTAATTCCGCGTCATCACTTATTTCAAGGTAATGGCATATTTTCATGTGGCCAGTGTTTAACTTGGTCAGAATTGACATATTTTATTCATACACCTATACAACAAAGTTAATTTTTGTGCAAAATATTTTAAATCTCTAGATTTTTATGTAAAACAGAACAAAATTTTACAAATTTCTGCAAAAGCAATAAAGTCCATTAAATTTGTGTGTATGTCTGAAACAATCATCATTTTCTTAATGTTCTTGTTTGTTGAAAAAAAAAATTTGAGTTACAAAGCAAGGATAATATTAATATTTAAAATCAAGCAAATTAACATGTAGAAATTTTAGAAAAAACATGAAAAACTGAAGTGTAACACCATTTCCGCGATTTAAATGGTGACATACTGTTTTCAAAATGGCCGACACATGTGGTGCGTTTGGTCCATTAAAATTGACTTTGACTGAATATATTGTTGTTTCCTTGTGCCATACAGCAGAAAATACCTATATGTTATAGCTTATGACAATTATTGTACCATAAGTTACATTAGTTGTTTTCTTTCTGGTTTCAAATCGTTAAGTACCGTGAACTAAGGGAAGCATAGTATAGAGCTTATAGTCTGAGATATTTATTCCAGATATCTAGAATAGACCTGGCACCAGTGGAGTTGTCGTAAGGTGACGCAGTCCTTGTTTTTGGATTCTACATTCTAACATCCTTAACTCTATTTTACTCGAAAGATGGCAGAGTCAGAAACTATGTAAGTATAGTTGCTTCTCATTTACTTAGTAACAAAAACAAACAAAAATGATATGAAAAGTAATGATTAAAAGTATTTGTAGTTGCTATGGCAACAAAAAGACAAAGAATTTAGTAAAGATGCATGTATTTTGGAAAAGGGAAAATCTTGGCATGTAAAAGTGATGTTTTTCATGAACATAACTTATGTCTCAGTGAAGACGAAAACGAATCTTATCATTTCATGTTGTTGCTTTTTTTGTCCGATAAATGTGTATCTAAACATATGACTGATAATTTAAAGGAACTCCACTGAGGTTTTTCGACATGATAACACTAGAAATAGTTTCACGGTATTTGTTTACCATTTTAAGTAAGTCTGGACCAATAACTTGTGCATACGTTTTTCAAATCAATCCCTGCCCCCCCCCCCCCCCCCCCCCCCCCTTTCTTAAATCATCACTTTCATTGTGCAAAATGACCTAAAAATGGAAAGCCTTGCAATGCTTTTCACTCAAATTGGCCAAGAATCGCACAAAAAGTCTATCTTGACAATTTATTTCTGAGCATATTGAGCTCACTTGACCACGAAGTCGTCATGAACTCGGATGAGTTTGATGGGTCAGGTGAGCAATCATTTTGGCCCTCTTGTTTTTTGCAGACTTTTTTATTTTAGGTGCAATTCTTCTATGTAAGAATTGCATATTTTAATTTTTAGACTTTTTGACCTCAGTGGAGCCCCTTTTAAGTAGCCTTTCACAATAATAATAAAAATAATAATAAGCAAGTATATTATCTATAATCTTTTGTTAGATATTTTATAAAAATATGTTTTTCTTTTCTATTTTTATATAACAGGAGGTTTGGAAAGACATTAAGTTCACAGCCTAGCACATCAGGACTTGTGAATATTGTACACAAGGTAGGTTAAAGATGTATTAAAGTGAGGATTTTATTATGCTCCCCCGAAAAAAGTCGCCGCCTCGTCCGTCTGTTTGTCCGTCTGTCTGTCCGTCTGTCCGTTTTTCTTGCCCGAGACATAACTTTGAAACAACAAGAGGTATCAACATGAAACTTTGTAGGTTGGTAGATCTTATTGAGTAGGTGTGCAGTGCATAAAAACAGTAACTCTGCCTTGCCTAATTTTTGAATTATTCTCCTTTGTTTATTTTTACACTTTGAACTTTGTCCGGGACATTACTCTAAAATTATAAGAGGTATCAAAATGAAACTTTGTAGGTAGATAGATCTTATTGAGTAGGTTTGCAGTGCAGTGCACAAGAACCGTAACTCTACCTTGCCTAATTTTTGAATTATTCCTCTTTTTTATTTTTACACTTTGAACTTTGTCCGGAACATTACTCTAAAACTATAAGAAGTATCAACATGAAACTATGTAGGTAGATAGATATTATTGATTAGGTGTGCAGTGCACAAGAACCGTAACTCTGCCTTGCCTAATACTTGAATTATTGCCCTTTGTTTATTTGTACACTTTGAACTTTATCCGAGACATAACTCTAAAACTATTAGAGGTATCAACATGAAACTTTGCAGATAGATATATCTCATTGAGTAGGTTTTCAGTGCACAAGAACCGTAACTCTGTCTTGCCTAATTTTAGAGTTATTGCCCTTTGTTCATTTTGACACTTTGAACTTTGTCCGGGACATAACTCTAAAATTGTAAGAGATATCAACATGAAAATTTGTAGATAGATAGGTCTCATTGGGTAAAAGTGCAGTGCTAAAGAATCATAACTCTGCCTTGCCTTATTTTGAAGTTATTGCCCTTTGTTTATTTTTACTTTTTTACTTTTGTCCGGGCATAACTTTAAAACTATTAACATGATATAAACATGAAACTTTGTAGGTAGATAGATATCATCGGATAGAACTGTAATGCTTAAAGAACTTAAACAAAGCCTTGTCTAATTTTGGATTTATTGCCCTTTGTTTATTTTTACACTTTGAATTTTACCCGGGACATAACTCTGAAACTATAAGAGATATCATCAGCAAACTTTATAGATAGATAGCTCTCATTAAATAGAAGTGCAGTGCAAAAAAAAACATAATTCTGCCTTGCCTAATTTTGGAGTTTTTGCCCTTTGTTCATATTTTTATACTTTCCTGTGTCCAAAACCTTCTCGGGAGCATCACCCGGTTCTTGTTTTGAGATGAATAACATGTACACTGTACCATGTGACCCGAAATGGTTTAGCACATGAAGTGTCTGATGCTTGGTCAGGATGTTTGTCAGATGAGTTTGATGGGTCAGGTGCGCGTTCTAGGGCCATCTTGGCTCTCTTGTTTACAATACCATAGTAAAATGAAATTAGAACTGAAATCATGAAAAATATCAAAATGATAATTGAGAAAAATAACATGTACTGGTAATTAGATTTAACATTTCATGTGGTATTGCTATTAATTAATTACTTTATACACCACAAATAAGACAGTATAAGTATCAGTTTCTAGTTGGCCAAATTACTCATTTTGTGTTTATATGTGTTCACTTTTCTAAAATGATTACTCATCATTCTTAGCTACTTATTTCATATTATCTTTATTTCTGACTTTTGTAGAAATCTTCTGAAAATGTACTGACAACAAAAGAAAAGACATTGACAGATGACGTCTTACCAGAGAAAGAGCGTATTTGGAAGGCAGACAATATTGACAAGCCGGCTGAATTGGATAATGAGCTATGTGGCACCATTCTTAAAGTCAGACCCGAGGATGGTAGGTCACTGTTAAAGACAGTTTGATTTAATAAAGCCACTACTACTTAAAGTGTATCAAAAAGATCTATGTATCCATTAGTGAACATTTTAAGTTTGTAACAGAAAAATGCAAATGTTTCAGAAAAGATTCTGCCGTGGCTGGATTCGGACTTTCAACCTCCTATTTTCAAGCAATAGTAACAATGCGCTAGACTGCACAGCCATAGAATCAATTTCTTGACATAATTGTCGGAGGTTGTTCTTATGATTACTAACATGTGTGCACTCAACCATAAAAATACATACTTGCTATTACTTGTTCTTTCAAACGTCAGTTGGCTTTTCTTATTATGTACCAAATAAATTAGAAGATTTTGAATGAATACTGAATTTATCAACAAGTAAACGAGCCTCTGGCAAGTATAATAGTATTTTTTTCAATGAAATCAGTAATGAACCTACATGAATATAATATTCTATTTATCACATATATATGATATTCTATTTATCACATATCCAAAATTAGGACTGTTTACAGTAAACAATCACTTATTCATTGATGCGTTAATAGTGTGACACTAGGATGTCTTTACTAAATGCAGAAATCAGAAAGGCCAAATCAGCTAATGACTAAATGACTGTGTGTGTTTCAAAGTCAAACTCCTAGAAAAGTGTTAACTTTCCAGAGTTTCCAGAACTGTTCCATGTTTCTTTTGATGTAAAAGTAAAGTTCCAGAGTTCTCCATGAATATTGTTACTCAGTAAATACTGTTGAAGAATGCTTGTTTCCATTAAATTCATAAAATTTCATGAAAAAGCGGTTATTTTTTACAGAAAAACAGTGAAAATTCTACAAACAGGCTTATTTCTTTTTCCAATATTTTATAAGTGGAGCATTCAGTTTCCTCTGACATCTTTTATTAGCCCACTTATCACAAAGTGACATGGTGAGCTTTTATGATCACTTTTCGTCCGGCGTTCGTCCGGCGTCTTTTTCTTTAAACGACATCCCCTCATAAACCGCTAAGCCAATTTCATCCAAACTTCACAGGAATGGGCCTTTGGTGGTCAAAGTTGTTCAAAGAATTTAATTCCATGCAAAACTCTGGTTGCCATGCCATTCGAAAGAAAAAACTTAAAATATCTTCTCTTCAAAAACCCAAAGAGGTAGAGCTTAGATATTTGGCATGAAACATCTTCTAGTGAGTGTCTATCAAATTTGTTCATATAAAAGCCCTTGGGTCAAAATCTTCTAGTGAGTGTCTACTAAATTTGTTCAAATAAAAGCCCGAGGGTTAAATTGGCCGTGCCTGGGGTTCTGATTTTCCTTATATGTCTAAGTAAAAACTTTCAAAAACCCCAAGAGCAAAAGCTTAGATATTTATCATGAAACATCTTCTAATGGGTGCCTACCAAGTTGGTTAAAAATAAAAGCCCCTGGGTTAAAATTAGCCCTCTTGTTTAAGATTTAACCTTAAATTATTTAACACAATAGACCTTAAATTATTTAACACAAAAGAAGTCATGATGCTTATTAAACTATTGAATGAGACTATTTATACAACAAGTACTAGGTTCAGCTTGATGTTATTGTTTTGTATAAATCTAGGGAATTTGAATTTACAAGTTGAAAATATATTTGAAAGAGAAAAAGCTGAAATAACTTTATCAGCTGATAAGCTCAAACTAATGACATCTTTTGTTTGATATTAATGCTTTTCAAACTGTTCTTCCAATGCTATTATAATTTATTACGTTGCTTGTGTAAATACAGGTACATATTTCCTAATTATGATATTGTGTGTTACATTATTTCTCATAAAATATTCAATATTTTATCTCAGTTAATACTTCTTCATTTCTCAAACAGTAGAGGAGGATGCTCGGCCAACACTTGGTGATACTCAACCAGTAGAGGAGGATGCTCGGCCAACACTTGGTGATACTCAACCAGTAGAGGAGGATGCTCGGCCAACACTTGGTGATACTCAACCAGTAGAGGAGGATGCTCGGCCAACACTTGGTGATACTCAACCAGTAGAGGAGGCTGCTCCGCCAACACTTGGTGATACTCAAACAGTAGAGGAGGCTGCTCGGCCAACACTTGGTGATACTCAAACAGTAGAGGAGGATGCTCGGCCAACACTGGGTGAGGCTTAGTTTTGTCCTCCAAAACGGCTTCAAGAATTTTATTAGTGGAGCATGCCGTTTCCTCTGACAGATCGTATTTAAGATTTGACCTTAAATTATTTAACACAATAGAAGTCATGATGCTTATTCAAACTATTGAATGAGACTATACACAACAAGTACTAGGTTCAGATTGATATTATTGTTTTGTATAAATCTGCGAAATTTGAATTTACAAATATCATTTTGAGGTTGAAAATACTAGTATATTTGAAAAAGCTGAAATAACTTTATCAGCTGGTAAGCTCAAACTAATGACCTCTTTTGTTTGATATTAATGCTTTTCAAACTGTTCTTCCAATGCAATTATTGTGTCGCCTCTACGGAGTAGTGGTGACATATAGGGATCACTTCTCCGTCGTCTGTCTGTCCGTCCGCACTACCAAATAGGGATAGGGGGCCATCTAACTGTAAACAGAACAAAAGAGAACAATAGAGTTCATTCCGTAACAATAGAGTAAGGGGCCATTGGCCCTCTATTAAACAATAGAAAATAACAAAAGAAATGGCCCCTTATTCCATTTCGGCCGGACGTCCGTCTGTCCGTCCGTCACAAAACTTGTCCGGACTACTCCTCATAAACTACTGGTGCAATTTCATCCAAACTTTACAGGAATGATCAGTACCAAGTCTAGTTGTGCATATTGTCAGCATTTTCCGGTTCAATGATTTTTGTCAGAGTTATGGCTCTTTAATAATTTTTATTTTTAAAGTTTGTCCGGACTACTTCTCTTATACCACTAATGCAATTTTAATGAAACTTTACAGGATTGATCTGTAGCTCAAGTCCTTGCGCATATTGCACGGGTTTTCCGGTTGAATGATTTTTGGCCGATTTATGGCCCTTTGATAAAAAGGTGCTTTTTTTCTGTGTGTTGTCAGATACACAAAAGCTTGTCCGGACTACTCCTTATAAACTACTGTTGCAATTTCATCCAAACTTTACAGGAATGATCAGTACCAAGTCTCGTTAGGCACTGTCCCTCTGTCTGTCTGTCTGTCTGTCACAAAACTTGTCCCAGCATGAAATTGGCCATCATGAGGCGACACATGTGATCACTGATCGCTCTTGTGATTAAGTGCATTGCCTTCTATATTTCTCAACCAGTAGAGGAGGCTGCTCGACCAACACTGGGTGATACTCATACAATCGAGGAGGCTGCTCGACCAATACTTGGTGATGCTAAACCTGTACAGGCGGATGCTCGGTCAACACTTGGTGCTACTCAACCAGTAGGGGAGAATGCTCGGCCAACACTGAGTGAGGCTTAGTTTTGTCCTCTAATACTGCTTCAAGTATTTTATTAGTGGAGCATGCCTTTTCCTCTGACACATCGTATTTAAGATTTGACCTTAAATTATTTAACACAATAGAAGTCATGATGCTTATTCAAACTATTGAATGATACTCTATATACAACAAGTACTAGGTTCAGATTGATATTTTATTGTTTTGTATAAATCTGCGAAATTTGAATTTACAGCTAATAACTTGCACCAATGACCTCTTTTGTTCTTCCGATGCATTTATGTTCATTTGCATTGCTCGTGTAAATACAGGTACATATTTCCTAATTATGATATTGTGTGTTACAATATATCTCATAGAATATTCAATATTTTATCTCAGTTAATTCTTCTTCATTTCTCCAAATCCTGAAGAAATTTCTAAATGTGTGACTTATTTTATAAACATGTATAACTTTTCTTGTATAAAATGTTTTTCAAATTTTCCAGAAAATCCCCTCTCTGATAAAGTGTTACCCCCAAGAGAGAAACGGGTAACACGCCTCTTAAGAGAGAGTAATGTTCAACCAGCAAAAGAGGATATTCAACCAGAAAAGCGTATTCCTCAACCAGCAAGCATGTTCCTCGACCAGCAGAGCATGTTTCTCAACCAGCAGATGTTCCTCAACCAGCAGAACATGCTATTCAACCAACAGAGAATGTTCCTCAACTGGCAGAATGTGTGCTTGAACCAGCAGAGCATGTTGCTCAACCGGCAGTGTGTGCCTCAACCAGCAGAGCCTATTCCTCAACTAGTAGAGCGTGTTCCTCAGCCAGCAGAGCATGTTCCTCAACCAGCAAAGCCTTGTTCTCAACTAGCAGAGCCTATTCCTCAACCAGTAGAGTGTGTTCCTCAAACAGCTGAGCATGTTCCTCAAACAGAACCTGATGCTCAACCAGCAGAACCTGATGCTCAACCAGCAGAACCTGATGCTCAACCAGTAGAACCTGATGCTCAACCAGCAGAACCTGATGCTCAACCAGCAGTCAATTTTGAGAATGTCTTTGCAGCTTTTGTTTCTGGAATAGTAGTTGGCATTTATATTGAAAGAGTCCGCAATGCTAGAGCTGGTTATGTCACTGCTATAGCTGATGCTAGCAATTCTATAACATATGTATGCAATGCTCTAGCAGGTGTTGGCACTGCTGTTGCTCGTGTTGGCATTGCTGTGGCAGGTGTTCACAATGCTAATGCTTATGTCGGAAATGTACCTTTTGTTGGCACTGCTATAGCAAGAGTTGCAAATGCTATAGCTGATGCCAGCAATTCTATAGCAGATTTATGCAATGATTTTGCTGCAGTTGGCAATGATGGAGCAGCTGATATCTAGAAACTTAAACAATGCTTTTTGGAAAGATGTTGTAAAGTGTAACATTGATTGTTAGCTCACCGTTGTCCCTCCACATTTGTTCTTCAACACTCTAGTGGTCACATTTTACCTCAATCATCATCAAACTTTGTCAGGATGCTTGTCTAGGTAATTGCTCGGATGAGTTATAAACATGGGTCATCCCGGATAAAGACTAGAGCACAGGACATAAAAATAGAAAAATCTTGTTAACACTCTAGTGGCTACTGTTATTATCCAAATATCCTGGAAATTGGTCTACATTTGTTTTGATTATTTCTAGGTCAAGTTTGAATATAGTCAAGTCTTGGGTTTTTTTCTGTATAAGGGTAGGTTGGGGATTATTTTTTAGCTTCTTTCTGCAGATTCATTTTTTTAAAATGCTTGTTACTTGAAAATTATACATTTGAAATATGTATTACATCTTTATACCTAAGCTTTACCTTGCTGTACTTGGAAGTGAATATCATTTGCCACCGTTAGCTGTAGAGATGCCAGTCTGTACATTTGGCAGTCTGACCAGGCTCTAGTCTATAATGTTGGCTTACTAACTTGAAATTTTATCATGCTATCCTTTAAATTGATAATAGACTTTTCCAAATTCAAAGCAAGGCAAATCCATTAGACAAATTCAGTAGGGTAAGGATCATTTGGGTGACATTATTCAGTGTCTGGGACATTTCGTACTGTATTGATTGCTTTAATATTTGATAGTCCTTAGATGAATCAAATCTAAACAGTCCGGCAAATAATCTAAAATCAAATAAATCAAATAAAATCAAATGTTTTTGGGATACATTTGAGCATGTGTATTGTGTTTTCATGAAATGATCTTTCGTTTTGGTTTAGTAAATCTTTGGGAAACACGAAGTTTTTACAAAGGCAAGAAGGCTAGAAATTTTTTACTAAGTATTATTGAAGATAAATAACTTATTGATCCTTTAAGAGAGTTACATGGCGCTATAAAAAATATACATGGAGACGCACCAACCCAATACAGCAAGGTAGATTAGATTTTTTTCTGATAACAAATAATTTATATCAGTTTGTACGTAAATGTGACATTGATGCTAGTTATAGATCTGATCATTCAATGATATATTTGGAGTTTTGTTTTGTTCCTGTTAGTCATGGAAAAGGTTTATGGAAATGTAATAATGCTCTTTTACATGACATTGAATTCCTTGATATCCTTAATAAGAAAATAGATGAAATAAAATTGCAATATTGTTTACTTGTATGTAATATAGATTATGTTTTGGATATTGCTTTGAATTTGTAACATACGTTTACTGAAATTTTGGGTTTAAAGATAAATTTTGACAAAACAAACGTTATTTGGATAGGTTCTCTTAAATATAGTACTAGATCAATTAAGACAAGGTGGAAACTAACATGGGTTGACACACAGTTTAAAATTAAGGATAAACTTTTGATGTTATTTTAGAAAAAATTATTGATCTGAATTTTGATGAAAAGCAGCAGAAAGTAAAAAAATGGTATTAGTCATTGGGAAATAAAGGGAATTAACTCCACTAGGAAAAATCACTGTTGTTTAGTCAATATTGCTTTCTTTTTTTAATCATTGTTTTACAAGCCTACCTACACCTTTTACTGCTTTTTAGCTCGACTTTTCTATGAAAAGGGGAGCTATCCTACTCGCCCCGGCGTCGGCGTTAGCGTCGGCGTCGGCGTTGGCATCACACCTTGGTTAAGTTTTTCGTACCACCCCACTTTATTTCAGAAGTATTACAAGTATGGCTTTGAAACTTACCATACTTGTTCACCATCATAACCTCCATCTACAGACAAGAGTACATAACTCTGTCAAGGTTTTTGACAGAATTATGGCCCTTTTTTGACTTAGAAAGTGTATTGAGCTTGGTTAAGTTTTTTGTACCACCTCACTTTATTTCAAAACCATTGGAGGTATTGCTTTGAAACTGACCATACTTGTTTACCATCACGACCTTCATCAACAGACAAGAGGACATAACTCTGTCAAGGTTTTTGACAGAATTATGCCCCTTTTTGACTTAGAAAATACATTGAATATGGGTAAAATCCACTTATTGCCTTAACCCTTTGAGATATTGCTTTGAAACTTTTAATGCTATTTCACATCATTACCCCCATCTGTACGCAAGAGAAGGTAACTCTGTCAAGGATTTGTTTTAAAAATTAAGGCCTTTTATCGACTTAGAATCTTGGTTAAGTTTTTAGTACCAGTCCACTTTTTGACTGAACTGTTTGAGATATTAATTTGAAAGTTGGAATACTTGTTTACAATCATGATTCCCAAACATGTCCAGGAGAAGGTAATTCTGTCAAAGATTTTATTTGAATTATGGCCCTTAACTGTCAATGTTTTGTATTATAGGCAAGCACTAAAAAAACTTAAAAAATCTAAAAAAATTCATTCCTATCCACTTGTTCACTTTACCATAAATTATGTCATATAAACATTGCTGTAATATTCAAGGGTATCAAAAATACAAGTACAAAAATATACTGCTTCCTTGGCATAGATTTCTTGAAAAATTATGTTATTATGTCATTTACCAAGGTGTTCTGAGTGACGTAAAAATACCTTATTCTCTCAAAGTGGGTTTAATACTATTAAATTTATTTAAGGCTCAACTCAGTTTTTTTTTCTTTCTTACCAGCCCTCTTTTGACTTAAACATTTCAAACTTTGCTGCAGTGTTCAAGGGTATCACACAATTCAGTAAAATAATTCTTCACTAAATATCTTAATGCTCATGGCCATTGTTCACTTTAAAAATACAGAGATTCTTGTATTGCCTTTTACTGCAAAAACTTTTTTTATTGGCAAGCAATAAAAAAGTCGAGCGCGCTGTCTTACGGACAGCTCTTGTTTGAGAGAGACACTTAATGACTTATTTTATGATTTTATATGGGAAGGTAAGGCAAAAGTCTGTAATCATTATAACATACAAAGAAGGTGGACTTTACATGGTAGATGTTAGTAGTCATGTTCATTCTTTAATAATAAAATGGTTTAAAAGATATGTAAGTAATTGTGATAGTAAATGTTATAACTCATTGTTTATTGATAAAGTTTTTAATTCTGGAAAAATGTTTTGTATATTAATTAATTATAAGATTAAAATGCTTTCATGATTGATGTTTTAAAAGTTTATATGACCTTTGTTGATAAACTTTGTATAGATAGTTTGGAACAAATGTTACATATGCCACTGGTTTATAACCATTGCTTTTCAATAGGATATACATGTAGATATTTTTACATTAAATCTTTTTATGATGAAGGAATCAGATTTGTGAAAGATATTCTTATTGAACAAAATGATTTTATTGAATTAAATCTTTTAGAACAGTGTATAGGCAAACAAGTTATTTTTTAGCTCGACTTTTCTATGAAAAGGGGAGCTATCCTACTCGCCCCGGCGTCGGCGTCGGCGTTAGCGTTAGCGTTGGCATCACACCTTGGTTAAGTTTTTCGTACCACCCCACTTTATTTCAGAAGTATTACAAGTATGGCTTTGAAACTTACCATACTTGTTCACCATCATAACCTCCATCTACAGACAAGAGTACATAACTCTGTCAAGGTTTTTGACAGAATTATGGCCCTTTTTTGACTTAGAAAGTGTATTGAGCTTGGTTAAGTTTTTTTGTACCACCTCACTTTATTTCAAAACCATTGGAGGTATTGCTTTGAAACTGACCATACTTGTTTACCATCACGACCTTCATCAACAGACAAGAGGACATAACTCTGTCAAGGTTTTTGACAGAATTATGCCCCTTTTTGACTTAGAAAATACATTGAATATGGGTAAAATCCACTTATTGCCTTAACCCTTTGAGATATTGCTTTGAAACTTTTAATGCTATTTCACATCATTACCCCCATCTGTACGCAAGAGAAGGTAACTCTGTCAAGGATTTGTTTTAAAATTAAGGCCTTTTATCGACTTAGAATCTTGGTTAAGTTTTTTGTACCACCTCACTTTATTTCAAAACCATTGGAGGTATTGCTTTGAAACTGACCATACTTGTTTACCATCACGACCTTCATCAACAGACAAGAGGACATAACTCTGTCAAGGTTTTTGACAGAATTATGCCCCTTTTTGACTTAGAAAATACATTGAATATGGGTAAAATCCACTTATTGCCTTAACCCTTTGAGATATTGCTTTGAAACTTTTAATGCTATTTCACATCATTACCCCCATCTGTACGCAAGAGAAGGTAACTCTGTCAAGGATTTGTTTTAAAAATTAAGGCCTTTTATCGACTTAGAATCTTGGTTAAGTTTTTAGTACCAGTCCACTTTTTGACTGAACTGTTTGAGATATTAATTTGAAAGTTGGAATACTTGTTTACAATCATGATTCCCAAACATGTCCAGGAGAAGGTAATTCTGTCAAAGATTTTATTTGAATTATGGCCCTTAACTGTCAATGTTTTGTATTATAGGCAAGCACTAAAAAAGTCGAGCGCGCTGTCTTACGGACAGCTCTTGTTTAGACTATCATGGTTTAAAACAAGCTATAAAGTCATACATGCTTAAGCTAAATTTTGCCATCAATACTGATTTGCTAAATGTTCAATATCCTATTTTAAGCTGTTATATCAAACCTATTATTATTATTCTTTTTCTGTTTGACCGATAAATACTGCAACCGTTTTCATTTGCACAATACTTAATAAGTAACTATTAATTTACCTGCTGTTATGTTATGTTGCTGTTATCATATGTACGGAAAAGAATGCGGTGTTTGAATTCAGTGTTGTATGGTACTCCAATATTCGAGTCAATAGGCCTTTTTAGCTCGACTTTTTTTTTTGAAAAAAAAATAGAGGTATTGCTACAGTCAGGTCGGCGTTGCCGTTGCCGTTGCCGTCCGAAAACTTGTACCTGGATCATAACTTTTTTATTTCTTTGTGTATTGTCTTCATACTTGGCCACAACAACCCTTGGGACAAGACCTTTCAGTAGACCACACTAACCTTGACCTTCATCCATAAATGACCTTGACCTTCAAGGTTAAAAGTCCAATTTTTGCTTGTTCATGCTGTTATTGGCTGTAACTTTGTTATTTTTGAATGGATTGTCTTCAAACTTGAACATAATAATCTTTAAGGATATCCCTTAAAAATAACCAGCCAGACCTTGACCTTCACTCATAAATGACCTTGACTTTGAAGGTCAAATTATTGAAATTTTCATTTTTTTGGCTTTTATTGGCTGTAAGTTTGTTATTTTTGAATGGATTGTCCTGAAACTTGAACATAATAATCTTCAAAGATTACTGTTAAAGATATACCGGAAGACCTTGACCTTCACACATTAATGACATTGTCTTTGAAGGTCAAATTATTGAAATTTTCATTGTTTTGGCGGTCACTGACTGTAACTTTGCTATTATTGAAGGGATCAACTTCATATTATTAGAGAACATTCTTAAGGACCAGACCTTGTTGTTTATCAAACCCAACTTTGCTTGGGCTCTTAAATGACCTTGACCTTGAAGGTTAAATTACTGAATTTTCTCAGATTTGTGCAGTAAATGACCATATTTAAATATTTATTGGTGTGTGTGTGTCTATATATATATATTTACAACAACAACAACAATAACTAAAATTGTGTCATTGTTTCTATTTATAGAATTGCGTCATTGTTTCTATTTATAGAATTGCGTCATTGTTTCTATTTAGAGAAATTGGGTCATTGTTTTTTTGGGTTTTTTTTATAGAAATGCGTCATTGTTTCTATTTTTAGAGATTGCATCATTTTTTCTATTTTTAGAAATTGCATCATAATTTCTATTTTTAGAAATTGCTTCATTTTTTTCTATTTTTAGATATTGCGTCATAATTTCTATTTTTAGTATTTTTAGAGATTGCATCATTTTTTCTATTTTTAGAAATTGTGTCATAATTTCTATTTTTAGAAATTGCGTCATAATTTCTATTTTTAGAAATTGCGTCATTGGTGCTATTTTTGTGATATTGCGTCATTTTTTTCTATTTTTAGAAATTGCGTCATAATTTCTATTTTTAGTATTTTTAGAGATTGCATCATTTTTTCTATTTTTAGAAATTGCGTCATAATTTCTATTTTTAGAAATTGCATCATTGGTGCTATTTTAAGAAACTGTGTCATAATTTCTATTTTTATAAATTGCGTCGTAATTTCTATTTTTAGAAATTGCGTCATTGGTGCTATTTTTAGATATTGCGTCATTTTTTCTATTTTTAGAAATTGCGTCATAATTTCTATTTTTAGTATTTTTAGAGATTGCATCATTTTTGCTATTTTTAGAAATTGCGTCATAATTTCTGTTTTTAGAAATTGCATCATTGGTGCTATTTTTAGAATTTGCGTCATTGTTGCTATTTTTAGAAAATGCGTCATTGTTTCTAATTTTAGAGATTGTGTCATTTTTTCTATTTTTAGAAATTGCGTCATAATTTCTATTTTTAGAAATTGCGTCATAATTTCTATTTTTAGAAATTGCGTCATTTTTTCTATTTTTAGAAATTGCGTCATTTTTTCTATTTTTAGAAATTGCGTCATAATTTCTATTTTTAGAAATTGCGTCAT